TTACAGGATGATCATGATAATGATGATTAATATTTAATTATTTTGAAGTTTACGTATTGTATTTGTAATAAAATATGTAAATGTAGTTTAAAAAGAAAAATTTTTGTTTATATAATAATTATATTTTGAATTTAGTTATATTTGAATTTAAAAGAATTAGTTTACATAAAACAAAAAGAATGGCGGTTATAAAAGAATCATAAAAATAATTCTTGTATCTTTCATATTTTATGCAAAAAATTCTATTATCGATAAAATTTTAATAATATATTTTTTTGCGTTTTACGCTTCCACTAAAGAAATAATTCTTATGATAGTGTAAAACTCAAAAACTAATTAATAAAATTTTATTTAAAAAGTTTTTATGTTTTACGTTAAATAGAATTTATTAGCTAAATACTAAAAAGTAGAATTATTTAGTAAAATAATAATATTATTTTTTTTGTACTTTTTAGACAATCACTACATACATCTTAATACCCTGGCTCAACTCTCTCACATGACTTTTATAACCAGTTAGTATAATTTAAACTCAGTATATCTGATATTAAGTAATTTATTTCACTAGTCCTAAGTATATATAACTCATAAAATTATTCTTTGATTAATATCGTTATGGTGAACTTAACGTTAAGAGGATAATCATTTCTCGGCCAATTTAGTCATTCAAGTCATTTACCATCCCTGCATGATGATAAAAGCTGAGATTAAACAAACATGTAGATTAAACGTCATTAAATAAACTTTGAAATCAAGATATTTGTATTCAGCCACCGTTTACTAGAACTGCCTTTCATGAGATCTTGTCAATAAAGATAAACAATATCGGTATCCGAATTAACAAAATTTGCGTACTGAATAGATATCTAATAATAATAATAAAAAAAACTTTAGAAATTCATATAGATATAATTTTCAATTTGGTTCACTTGCATTATCATTATATAATATAATTTATAAAATCTATTTTTGTTTTTATTTTTATTTTTTTCATCCAATTATCATATAAATAATATTTGTGTCTAACCCTATAATCTATATTATGACATAATATAATACTATCGATTATTTATTTTTAAATATATATAAAATAAGCAAAAATTAAAAAAAATATTAAACTAAGAATAGAAATTCTTTGATATAGAAAATATATTTGTAATAAGGTCTCGCCGAGAATCGAACTCGGATCGCAGGATTCAAAGTCCTGAGTGATAACCATTACACCACGAAACCGTATTTTATGCATTTTTTGAATTTTAATAAAATTCTAAGAAATATTATTTACCCTATTATTTACCTTATAATGTTTGTGCACAGCAAAAAAAAAAAACATATTGTTTATGACTGAATGCAGGAAGGGGTGAGTAAATGCACAATATATGCGTAATTTAACTTTATGTGAAGTTAAATTATACGTATAAAGTTTTCTTATATATTTTATCATGAAAAAAGATGAAAAAGACTCGAAATATCAAATTATAGTTTGAAATTAATGAAACAGGGAATTCATTGTATTGTACGTACTATATATATATCAGATATTATATTATTTCATTGTTACGTATTATTATTGCGCTACTTATTTTATTAGATTCCTAATATCAAAAAAGATTATCCGTGTTTTTACGTATACATATTATGAATTGCTATTAAAGCACAACCTGTTTTTCCATGTCTAAGTTTTGTACCATCACGCCAGCCTCCATCAAAATACACCATCAAACATGCACACAGCCCTATTTCTTTTTTAATTTTTTTTAAAAAAAATTAATAATTTAAAGTGAATTAGATGAAATTCATCTTTTATCGTTATAAAGGTCCCCCCCAAAAAAAAAATTCACGAAAATTAAACAATTGACTTTCCAACATTCACAATAATAGAAAGTTGTACAGTATGTATTATGGATGAGAATTGATGTTTTTTTCACTTTATCATAAATTCATCTAATCTAAAAAGAAAAAAAAATCAACTTCAGAATAAACGATATTTTTTATACATTTTCCCTTGTTGCTGAGTACTGACTACTGTATTACTATAATAATAATGGTAAAAGATAAATAAATAAATAAAATAAAATTGTAAATAAAAATAAAAATAAATAAATAAAATAAAATAAAATTGTAAGTAAAAACAAAAAGATTATAAAAGATTATCAAAATTCAAGGTCAATAAAATAAATCTATTTCTAAAATAAAATATAAGAACACGCAAAAAAAAATAAAAATAAAAAAAAATACATATATAAAACATGCAATTATATAGATTACAAAAAAAAAAAAAGAGTATTTATATACAATTATTATTAGAAAAACATTTCCTTCCTAATGTTTTATTATTATTCATGTATGATGTGTATAAAAATTAACGTTCACGTTTTTAATAATTTAATATGCTGATAATTCATTATCAATTGAATCTCTTGATAATGTTGAATCATTTGAGTCGGATCTACGATGACTGATATACCGTGAAGGCCCTGCTTCAATAATAGTGTTTGAAGGATATTGATGTACATGAATATTTATAGTAGTATTTCCCGCTACAGGAGGAAATAAAAATGATCCACTACTATCATAATTATGTTCATATACTACTCTTGGTATATCTTTAAAACGTTTTGGCTTTTTAGGTGGTGAATTAACTATAGTTTTTGCCCCAGATTTAAATGAAGCTGCCGAACTACTACTACTATTACTACTACTACTACTACTACTACTTGTAACTACTGTTTCAGTAGATGCTGTTATTGAAAAATCCAATTCATTAAATGATTCTTCTGTAGGTGTAATTAAGACACGTGATATACGCTTCATAAATGTTTTTTTTCTTTTATCACTTGCATTGTTATACATATCATACATAAATCTGCGTGTTTCTCCATTACGATAATTTTGTCCATAACTTTGACCTGATAAAATTCCTGAATTAGCTGTAGCTGAACTATATGCATGTCCACGATCTGATCCTGAACTTTCTGATAGACCATTTGGAAATACAGGAAGTTTTTGTTTATCTAAAAAAGTTCTAACAAACCATCGTAATATAGGTCGATTTTGATTCATTTTATTTCGAGTAGTATTTGGATCAAATCTAGATCTAAGTGGTGAAAAAGTAGATTGAAGTGGTGAATGACCGGATCTATTTGGTGAATAAGGTGGTATCAATATACGCATTCCAGGTGTACGAGGTGATGTTGGGTTAGATCCATAAAGAGGTGAATTTGGATTAGAATTATTTAAAAATGTTGGAGATGATGGAGGCATAAAAAATGGACTAGTTGGTGTTGGTGGGAAAGATGGTGATGAAGGTGGACTACTCAAAGAAATTCCATGTCTTTCGTAACCATAATTATCGATAAGATCTCTTTTAACTTTTTTTAAAGCATTATGAATAGCTGGATCGAAAAGAAATGCAAGACAATTAAATAGACCTATATATATATATATTTTTTTTATAATATTTATAATAAATTAATTATCTCATTAAATTACAAATAATATCATTAAAAAATTAAAAAAAAATAAAATTATTTACCAGGAAGGCAAGATCCGATAACTGCCCAATAAGAAACGGGTGGTGGTATTGTAGCACTTCTATGAATAAATAACCAAGTGTATTCAACAACAATACCACTAATATTCACAAGTGGAATTGCAGCATATAAAGAAATACGACTAACTAATTTCAATAAGAGCAATTTTTGTCGTTTAGTTTTGGCATTTAAAGTTGTATTATTGGTTTTTTTTGTTTGAACTGCATCAGCCAATTTTCGATGTTCAAAAATTAATTTCATTATTACAATTGCGAGAACTAATGTGCAATATATCATAGAAAATGATACCGGAATTATAAAAGTTGCCAATTTCCATATTTGTGTCTTATCTCCAAAAGGATCACGATAAAGACATGAATGTCCATCGAACCCAAATTGATTATAAATTAAAGGTGGAATATTTATGATAAAAGCAGTAAAGAAAGCTACAGGTATATACCATCGATCAGAAAAAACTGTAACTTTTTTACGATGAAGAAATACAAGCTGAAATTTAAAAAAAAAAAAAAAAAATTCGATTAATTTGATTAAAAATTTTTAAAAATTTTTCAAAATAAAAAATTTAATCAATCAATTAATTAATTACTTGTAAGTTAAATGCTATCATAACAGTCAAGAACAGATATAGTGCCGGAAGAAAAGACATTCCCCATCCGATAAAAGTACATATGTTTGTATCTTTGGAGGTATACAATGAGTATGCTATTACCATAGCTCCTGACAAAATGTCTACAAATGAAATGATTCCGGAAAGTCGGAGTGAAACTCTATTTACTAATTTTTTATCGTAAAGCCACATTATTAATATTATAATCAAGACTATAAATCCACTGATCATACTCGTTATACTCAAATAAATGTTTAAATTTTTAATTATGTTTGCTTGTTTTATTTTTTGAATATCTTGTTGATAAAAAGGATTTACAGGAAAATTTGTGTAAGGAACGTTTGTGTCGGAATATATGTCTGGTGCACTTGGAGATGTCATAATGTAAAGACTTTATGATGAAAAAAGAGAAACACCCGTTAAGTTAGTTAACGATAGATGTGAATTATGTCTTTAAGATCTCGATAGGGGTCTCGATGACGGTTATTAAGGTGCAATTATCTGTCCCAGAATTTTTATCTGAAATTAAACGGCAATTAATGAAAAGGTTCGAGACAACAAAGGTGCAAAAAATACATGAGGCTAAGTGCGAGATGTATTCTTTTATTGTTTTTAATACATTTAATTATTTTATAATTTAATTTAAGATTAATAATCTAATATATATATATATATTTACAGCTTCCCTTTAATTACAAAATTGAAAAGCGCGTCCATGCACATACCAGCAGTAAAAATCACGTTCAACAGTGTAACCTTTTAATATTACAACTTATGAAAAAAAATTCATTGTTATACTTTCTTAGATTTGATAATTTCCATGCATTTTTGTCACGCGAGAGAAAATATTCCACAATCCAATAATTTATGATCATTGTGATCATTGTAAATGTTAAATGTTTTCATTTTTTATAAAAATATCTAGAAAGTATATTACCTTAACGCATCGTTAATAAAGACTTGCATTATGCACAAATATGAATAATATGTTGGATGATCATTAAATTGATAATATTAATCCTGTTCAACGCGAATTTCTTTAAATTTTATGATTTCATTAGTGGTGCCATGTACAAAAAAACTATCTAAAAATCTATTAAGGGTAAAATAAATCGCATTTTACCAGATGGCCAATTATGATGCCATTTTAGGTTGTCAAATTAGGCAAACAATTAGGTGCCAAATTTTTTATTAGTTTTTTTTGTTTTTTTTTTATTGTCAAAAATTTTTATTGTTATTATTAGCGTTAATAATTTCTTTGTCTTGCCGATTTGGGAATCTAAGGAACTACGTATGCTATGCCTTATATTCTCGATTTTTTTTTTTTTTTTTTTTAATTTCAAGAGTTTAAACACAAAGGCAATTATTTAACGTTACTGTATTGGTTAATGTTGCATTACTTCCAAGTTTATATTTTTTTGTTAAACTTTCGTTTCATTTATTTGTTAATTTTACTTTTATAGATTTTCAAAATTTGATTCTAGATCTAATTATTACTTTCTGGTCTGATTACATCCTAATTGGTTTGATCCTGTTGTCACATTATGGATATGTGATTTTTTTTTTTTAAATGTATTTGATCAACTTTTCACAATAAAAAATAAAAAAGTTAAAAAATTTATTATTTCTAAATTTAGTAATGAATACTAGTTAAGGATTTATTAAACGGAGAATCTTGTCACAAATCTGGGACATATTAAATTTGGCGTTCGGTTAAATTTGAACGAATCGGGTATAAAGTCTCACTATTTTGAGATCATCCATACTTTTTTTGATACAGTATCATCGATCTAGAAAAATAATTTTCAATGTATCTTAGTTACATACTAATTGATATATAATATTAAATTTCTATACACTTAATAAAGACCTTACTATTGTCATCGTAGAATATCCTAGATACAATTTTATTTGTGTTATAAACTTACATCATGTTAAGAAATACAGTAATGTTTATATTTCTGAGACACATGCTAAGTCTAATATCGCTAATTTGGGACTCTAACAATGAGACAATTTAATCTCTAATGATTTTGACAATTCATTAATAGGGTTCAGGGCACGAGTAAAAAATTAGGCAAACCCTGAGCTGTCCATAATTATGCGATGCGGTAGGGTAAATTATGCTGATGAACTAAAGTCAATTATGCGATGGATGCGAATTTATTTCCCAATTATGCGAAATTTTTTTAAATATATTATGCGATGTTATTATCGTTACATTAGATCCTTTGGAATCTTTTGGATTTTCTTCTGAATTTTGGTTCCTACCTTGCTCGTCTTTTACGTTCGTTCATTTTCTACGTCGTAATTTAGATGTATTGACGCATTCACTCACACTTTCTATTGATCATGTGCAAATCAAAATTCCGATTGGATCAATCGACAATTTTTAATAACGTGATATTGTTTATTTTTCAAAACAAATATATTATCATAACTATCAAATAAATTTTTGATAAGCTTTTTTTTTTTTTTTGATTCTTCAGATTTATATAATAAAAATAAAAAAAAAGTTTTTCAAATTTGGTTATTATATATTATCAAAATATTAATTAAAGTTTTTTTAAATTTTTTTTTTTTTTTTTTTTGATAATTATTTAATAAAAATTTAATAAATTTTTTTTTATTTTAATTCTAAAAACTTTTGAAATTTTTATTATACAGATTCTTTATTTATAGATTTTTTTAAAAGAATTTAACTTTAAATAACCGGTGGTGATCATCACTGATGTATAATTAGATAAAACAATAAAAAGATTTATTTCATTAACTTTAGGATTAGAACAAGGCCTGGGATTTGAATAAGGTGTTATATATATGCAAATTTTAGCAAGAAATTTTTTTTGTTAGAACATTGAAAGTAGTTTCATAGGTGAATTCTTGAGATTTTAGTATTTTTTTTAAAAAAAAATCAATTTGGCATATTATACACCTGATCTTGCAAATTTATTAGCTAATTACATACTAGTAATGATTACTACTAGTTATAGTTATCAGTAAATATTATATTTTTTATATTTTAAAAAATTAAATATATACTATATCAATAGTCTTAATTCAAAAAACTTATAACCATATTTGTTCTAAAATATATTTCAATTCCAAACTTGCTACTAGTAAACTTGTTTACTAACTAGCTTGAATTGCAATTACTACTATTATAGTTCAGAAAAATTAACAAATTTATTTCACTACTTTAGCTTCTTCCATCTTATCTAATGTCTCTACCTTTTACTTGATTAATATTTCTTATAATCTTATTAGATAAGATACATACTACTTTACTTAGCAAAAAATATTATTTAATACTAACTATGCAGATTTTTTAACATCTTAATAATGCTTATAATCTATCAAATTAGTGTTTACAAACTAGAATAGAATTAACTAACTCTATACAATGTACTATTAACTAAAATATCTTTTCGAGTTTTTTAACTTCAATAATTTATCTAATTCAAGACAAATATATTTTAAATATACATAAACTAAAGCCTTCAAAATGAAATTTCTTCTATATGAATTTCTAATAAGGTTAAATTTATACAAAAGAAATAACCAAAAATATTCTAATCCATACTGCACAAGATGCAATATAAGTATTGAAGACAATACAAATTAGTAACAATATCCCTCTAATCAAACTTCTATTAACTTAATTATACATAGTACAACAAATAAAGTCCTTTTCTAATATTATTATTCCCTATTCTTATCAATTCAAAAAATCTTTAATATAATTATCTATAACTAAATTCATCTGCTTATATCTTTTACTAATTCTACTCTACATATAATCTAAGGTTATATTTCAAATTATCTATATGCAAATATCTTTCACTATATCAAAAAACCTACTAGTAAAAAATATACAGTAGCAAGTTTTCTTCTTCATAAAATATCTAAAAAGGTTTACAAGGATATATAGATTTCTAGATACTAAAGCTTTAACTCTAACATATCTATTTTCACAAATACACTTCTTTCTACTCCTAATATTTATATCAATCTTACAAACCCTACAATATCTATACTCAAAAATATTAAAACTGATAACAGAATAGAATATTAGTTCAGTTATTTTTCTTTTGCAAATCAATCTTCTGATATTATACTTTGTTACAAAGACTACTTGAAGCCTAACTTTCTCTAGCAGAGTCTAAGTCAAGAGTAAACTAGCTTTAGCTTTTTGTTCTTAGCAGATTTTTTTTATAATTCTATATATATATATGTCTATACAATTTATCTAATAAATAACAGAGACAAGGCTTCACTCTTTAAAAAAAAAAAAAAAAAAAAAAAAAATTAAAAAAAATTTATTTACAAAATAATAACTCTAAAATAAGTAAATTATTATAAGTTAGTTATAAGGTTTAAAAATTATTTAAATTTATTAATAATAAGATTTAAATTTTAAATTTATTATCTTTTAATTTGTAGGCTATTCCAAGTAAATTTGTTTAGAAAATTTATGTAACAATACCTATGATCTATA